GCCGGTGCTAGATTATTGCGTTAGGCCGTTGCGCCCCTGGATGAAGCAATATTAAATTCATCTGGAGAAAGTTTAACGAAGTACGACCAAACTAGCCGGGGATTAAATTTCCTAAATTTGAGTGTTGACTTGAAAGATAAACATTCTCATCTTTCTTACAGGAAATACAGAGGAATGTACTCAAGTTTTTCAAACTTATGATAGCATTAGACCGCATCATTTAGATGGCTGAATGTCTTTGAATCGGCAAAACAACAGACCTTCGTGGTCACCAGTACAAAGTGAAGACATATTATACCAAATGTTATGAACGGAATACTTTCTTTCCCCATCGGGTGGTCGAAGACTGGATTAAATTACCTTCGTTAGTTGTTCTTGATGAGAGCGTTAAGATATTTAGTGGATGACTTGATTAAACTACACATGATGGTCATATAAATGGCCATTTAACGTATGCATGTTTTGTCGAAATTGACATGTTAATAGTGCTTTCAAATACTCTGCCTACCCCGTTTATATATAATGGATTCTAAGGACAACGCGCACATCCGATCTCGATTCAATGCACGGGAAGACTCTGGTGCAAAATTCCCAGGAGATTAATTGATTTTTAATCCTTTCGAAAAGTAAGTCAATAAAACCTTAGAATTTAATATCGCAATGCGTATCTGAGACCTAAATTCAATAAGTTAATAGTAAAATTAGGAAATATTCAAGCCGTCGTTTAAATATCCTTTAGAAAGGCTCCTATATTCAAATACTTTCCCCTCTAAGTAGCTCGTGTATGTACTCTGCGCTAGTGATTTTTCCGATCGTCTTTTCTTTACAAAGAGAAAATCTTTGAGATTTTGACCTAGTATGCCTATCAGTATCTTCCCCTAAATAGACCTGAATATAGATTTCCAATAAATGAACATAAAGAGGAAAAGGAAAAATATTTTTTTCTTGATTTGCTAAGTTATGACGACTATTCCCAGTATATCACAAGTCCCTATCTTTATAATATAGCAGTCTGCTGGCCCATCCTCTTTTTATCTCTTAGAACGCTTAATTACTGTTTTACATTATGGAGGTTTTTCATGAAGACCTTTCATAGCGAAACTATAGATTCCCGAGGGAATCCGGAACGTCAGGAAAATAAAACCCTTGTTCCATTGATCGCATCTTCTTCTTCTGAACTGCTTCAAGAAACTCACATATTCTCACTATAGGGTTTTCTGACAACATGATAATAGTGTCGGTTTATCCCCCTACTCACAGCTTAGGTGTTTGCTCTTGTCAGTGTCTGCTGATTTGATTGACTGACTGGCACAGCTTGGGACAATCACGCGAGGGGAATTCTGAGCAGCTTGTGTGTACACGTAATACCTGTGTGTCAAGAAAATACAAAAAGCCGCAGAATAACCGCGTAATAGGGATAATTTAGTGCCTTTAAATTGTTTTCGAAGTGTTGCCTTTCAAACGTCTGTTTCTGACTGTTGTTGTAACTCAATTTGACGTCGAACTATTTCTCTCCTTTGACAATTCATTTACAGTCGATTAATTTATTGTTGCGTCACATTTATCAGTAGGTCCTGCAGACAATATCTACTAATCAGTTCCTTTGCGTTGGTAGAGCGTCAATCAGATGACTAACCGCAACAAGCCCACAGCTCTGAGCTCTTATTGCAAAACTAGACAGATATAGGTATAATGTCACGAACTTTGTATTCTTCATTCCCATATAGTAAGAGTTCTTTTTACATAAGTCTCGTAGTCTTTGAGTTCAAAAAATGCGATTTCAAACAAGACAAGTGCAGCCAAACACACAGAGTTTCTTCACGTTATAGACTTTTCACTACCTCTTATTCCGGTGGTCGATATTTAATTGGGCAGTTTATCTTGCCTTATTAATAAGCGATGCCAGAGAGGTCGCATAGTTCGTTGCGTTTGGCTTATTCAAACTTATTCCGGGAAAAGTGCTTCAACAATTTAAACTTCCAAGTTCTTAATTCATTATAAATAAACAACCTATCTGTTAAGGAAATTATTTTCTCAGTGCGCTCGTAAGTGCGCTCTCGCCAATGCGAAGTCGAGAACAAATTTTCGATGTGATTTAATTCCAACGTTATACCAGATGAACCTTGCTATTGATAGCACTCTTTTTTCCCTATGGCCAAATGCTAAAGCATCATATGGTAACATATTTTTTTACATGCGTTGTTGCCTCATACTAATCACTCTGTGCCGAGTTGTGTGAAGCGTACGAGCGTTTCTTCCATTTTTATGAAAAGTCCTCGATAATTTTGTCTTCCGTTCATCTTACGGTCGAAAGTCCGATCGTGCAAATCCAGTGTCTTGGAGTAAGCGCAGTTGACGTAGATCTGGTAGTTGTTGTTAATATTTGTCCAGTTTTCCTTAGGGTTGTTCTCCTGTAATCCTTGCAATCCCCTTTAACAATGACTTGAAGCAGAGAAAAAAAGTATAACTTATCCGCTTAATTATTCTATTTTCCTAGTGGTGTCATGTCTGTGTCATTTCGAGTCTCTTAACAACCGGCTGCAAATGCTGCCTGTTCAGACCACGAACGCAGAATCCTAAAGCTTCTTGTTCGAATGATGTTGAAAGAAAATGAGTACGGCCCAACGGACAACACTCGACTGATCTTAAACCAAAAAACTCGAACTGAATGTATAGCATATCGTTATATAATTTGTTAGTCGTTTAACGCTTACTGTACCTTTTTAATTTTAGGATAAGTCGTCTTTTTCAACATTTCGCACTTCAACGGGTCGGATAAATAAGAAGGTAAGGTAGTTTCTAGTTGCCATGGTCTTAACCATGCCAACCCGGATGTACTATGCATAGTATTCAGAGCAGTGCACTATCTAAACTAAACGGCTAAAAGTATAGATTGAATCGTATGATCGCCATTTTATTATTTCAAACCAATTACCTATTTTTAAGCAAGAAGCTTCGGAAGAAATAGTGACGGCACCGTTTGTTTCGACATAATTCAACTGCGAATTACGTTCAGAGCAGAATAAGGATAGTTAAATCATGTGATTTACTTCCGTTCAATTCACTTTTTTTCGTAAAAAAAACTTTCCGCTGCTGTTTTTTTTACTTTAAACCTTTTTTCTTCGTCCTCAGACGACATTTTCCGTTTAAGCTCGAGGAAACCTACACCTTGTCTTTCTTACGGGGTTTGATAATCAATTCATATGCAGACTAGCTGTTTGCGATAGATAATTCGCAAATTGTCGGCCGTTAGTCGCTGGTCCTGCGTCCACTCTTTGAGACACATGACGGTCAAACGATCACAGCCTAGAAAACTTTCATGCTCATTTTCTTCACCTTTCAACGTAGTTTTTGTCGATAGCCATTAAGGTACACCGATTTTTTTTCATGGATCATCACAAATGAATTTCAGAGGATCCAGTCTTCGTAAAATAAGGCAACCAACTCGGACAGCGGATCTAATTCTTGGTTTATAAAATATGAATGTTTTAGTTTTGTCTATTTGACTACAGATGTCTTTAATATTACTGAGCCTTTTTCCAGAACCTCTACGAAAAATTCCTACAGTTGTCCTGGTGGCCTTCTACGTCTCGGTCAATGAGGTTGGCTTATGGGGCTAGACTCTGCAGAGCCTGCCTATCATGCACACTAGCATGCGAAGTGCTGACAAGCTGGAATTTTAGTCAACCAGTACTTGACACTTAATTTCTTTCACGTCAAACTGATATCCTGAAGCACCAAATAAATATACGGGCATTTTCCACGAAAACCCTATTTGGACTCAATTTTGAACCCCTTTGTTTGCTCCTTCTGAGTCTAATCTCTGCCTGATTCTATACGTATTTTCTCCCCACCTACCACAGCCCTACGGTGATGTTAATCGGCTTAGTCAGTGCCGTATTACGCCGTTCTCTCGGCCGATATGTGGAAAATATAGACAGTGATAAATTGTCCTATAGTCTCTACCAAGGGCAGGTTGCTCTCAACGATCTCGTCCTCAGGCCAGAAGCTCTTACACATCTACTCGGGCTACCAATCAAACTTCGATCTGGTTGGTCCATTTTTTTAGAATATTATTTTCAGTCACTGTTTGAATCCTGGCCTATCCTTCTCATGCGCTGTATTACGCTTTACTCGTGTTTTATTTGAAAGTCAGCTTCTGGAAAACATGTAGAAAAAATCAATAACTGTCCGACATGGATGCCGATTGGCCACTGCAGACTAAGTCATTCTGTGCAGGTAGGTGAAATCGGCTTGTTGGGTGAGCGACTGACATTAGTGGGTAGGGGCGAAGTGCGATCGCCACCTGGCGTCGATGTAGACCATGGAAGTGTAAGGGCTTGTATCAGCATCTTCTGACAACACAGCACTGGATTCGCTAGCCGCATAGTTAGTTACTGCTTCGGCTGTATCCTCGCACACCTTGTCGATACGAACTATCAAGTCGATACAAATAAAGCCTTTCAGGTTGTCTACCGGACACCTGCTA